ATTTGTCATGCCTGGGCCACTCGAAGACTGCTCCCGTGCAAGTCGGCACGGGCCAAGATGGCGGATAGCTCCTTACTTGGAGGTTCATGGGTTTAGGGTTTAGGGTTTAGGGTTTAGGGTTATAAGTCCCCGAATATGGGTTATAACTATAGTTACCTTACTTGTAGCCCCACTTATAACTACCCCTGAACCTCCAAGTACTTCAGGATCAGGGTACAGGGCTCCACCAAACAAACCAAACGGCTTATGTAAGACATCTAGGGGTTTAAGGTCTACTTAACGGATCAGGGGACTTAGTAAGTAGGCCATAAGTATAGTCATACATATCCTTGCTGGGGTTATCCTACTTAGAACTCTACTTGCAGCCTGCTAAGTGAGTCCCCTGACCCTGAAATTGCTGACAGGGAGAAATGCGTGGATTCGATTACGTTTCGGGCCTTGTGGATTTCTGGCAAAGCTTGTTTGGGGCCTGACCTCAAGCCAGAAAACAGGCTGCACAGCACCGAAATGCAGAAAATCCAGACCCCAGGCGGCAATACAAAAGAGTGAGAGAGAGAGAGAGAAGGAGCAAACGAGGGCAAGAGAGAGAGAGAGAAAGAGACAGGAAGAGAGAGAAAGAGCAGATACACGGAGCCACAAACGAAAAAAAACAAGCAGACAGGCCGAGCCGCAAGCGGATCGATCTGGCTTTGCAAAAGGCAGAGCACAAGTTGATGATCACCACTTAAGGCTCGCATGGCCGCATATAGAGCTTCGGATATTAACGCGTCGGGGTGTCGGGCGCTATAGGGTGTCACTGCACTGGACGTGATCCTGGTGTTTTTGCGATGCTCAACTCGCAATTAGTTACCAGAGGCTGAATAACAAAGAGTTCACTAAGAGCTGTACCATGTACCCTGAACCCCATTAGAAATGCTACAGTACGCCATAAACCTTACACCCCAGCCTAACCCTTCATCGTCCAAGCCCGGGAAGGTTGAGTTGAGCTTCGTCGTCGTTCTCTGGAGACAGGTCCCGAATGTACCTCAGATCCGAATCCCAATGCTACGATCCTGCTATTTTCCGGAGCAATAAAAAACCGCGATGATCAAGGTCTTGAGTCTTGTGGTTGGCTGACATTTCCCGTGCACATCGAGTATGGCAGCTTCGAACTCCCGTAGTTAGGCTGGGGCAGCAGCGAGCTGCTGATGCTGCCGACGTAGGCTTTTAGGGCTTCGGGTCCCGAGCTTGCGAGCCAGAAAAAATGCACAGAGCCGCCAGAGCCGCAAAGGCACTGTTCCCAAAGCAATCTCAAAGGCTCAAAGTCCTCATAGCGGAGATGCTTCCAGTGCTCCTTGCCGCGAGCCTGATCCACCATTTGGTGAAGGGGCCGACAGGGATGTTACGAACCCCACTTTCGTCGTCTCCCTTATCGACACTGCCCCTGTCTCAAGACTATGTAATGCTCACAGAAGTTACAGGTACCCATAAACCCACCCTTGGAAGATCCCATGACCCTCCATGCAAACACTCCATCGCCAAGTGCTCCGTGGCCTCTTTGGAGCTCTTCGTCGCATTCCGCCCCTTTGGGGGGTTCGCGGGGAGCTTGGACGGGTCCAGCCGCAGGAACTTCCCTCGGATGTTGCCTTGCTTGGGAATGCAAGGATGGAAGGAATCGGGGTGAGGAAGGCTAGGAAGGGGTCATAAATCGACAAACCTCAGAAGGGTTTACATAGGAGGCACGTTGCTAGATTCTTGTCACTTGTCATAGTAGCAATCATGCCTCAAGGGTTTAGGGTTTGGAGTGTGGCAACCCCAAACAGGCAACCTTTGTCCGAAACCTATGTTTGGGTCGGCGCGAGATCTGCGAGGAGGCGGGTGGACTTCTATATTCAGTCAAGCATGCTTTTCGGTTCGGGAACTGAGCGTGCGTTCAAACGAGCCTTTTCTCAGCTGATGAAGGAAAAGAAGGAACTGCAAGGGTTGCAACAGCATCCACACTCATGTGGAATGCAGACTCGCTTTACGAAAAAATCGTCATCAGAAACTGAATATTTTTCCAGGTGGCGTTCGTAGTAACCGGCAGTGTTCCCGATGCCGAAAGTACCTGCGGCTGCGAAGGAACCCTCGTGGTCTTTACGTGTGCAGAGGGTTTGGAGGACTGAGCTCGCGGAGCTCCGTGGTTTTGGACAGATCTCCACCAATATACTATAGCGTGACACGAAACCCTATTCTGACTGTGCATCCCCCTAAACTATGCAGTCAGACATTGCCTTCCGTCAGTCCGTCGCACAGTACTGTAGGCGCTTCAGAAAGAAAGCTGGGCCAATTGATCCCTAAAGCACTAGCAACATCCCACAAAGCCCTCATATATCTTCACTTCGAAATCTCAGAGCGCTCCGAGGGCACGCAGCAGCTCCAGTGTCGGTCCCTCCCGGTCAGCGACTCGCCGCTTCGGTGCATCCGCCATGGCGGGTAGGCGGATTTCAGGCGCAGGCAAGTAAAAAAGGCCTGAATAAGTAGAAGCCAGATCTCCCTTGCTAGTCCCTAGACATCTTAAACCCAATGTCACTGTTCCAAATCGTACGGCGCCTCCATTGGGGAATTTGGGTGGGACCCTAAGGAGGGAAACGCCTGCAGTGTAGTCCCCGGGGCTGAGGATGATTTTTTGCGGCGTGTGTGAAGCGAAAGTCTAGGGAGGCTGCATCCGCCTCAGTCGCAAATAGTGCAGGGACCTTAACAACTAGAATACTAGGATAGGTTTTGTGGCACATTATACCTATGTATAACCAGGCCCCTGCAGGAACACTACTACGACTCATTTAGGCATTTATATTACATGCAACAAGGATTCACAAGTTTGCAAGACCCTCCGAGGCCCATATCACAAAAAATACGGCCCTGCTCTATAGGAGTAGGATATCTGCTATGGAACGCAAATCTACAACTTTATCCCATCCCTGGAGTTATGTCTCCACGACCCGAACGACTAGAGGTGAACAGAACAGCAAAGGCAGAGGCTGAACTTCTTTCAAAGCTCTCCAGTGTCTCTCCAAGCAGCGATCCTCGTTCTACAGCAAAGCGCGTGCAGCTCGTCTTCATGGATACGAAGCCTATTGCCGTAAAGCCCTAAGACCCCTTAGCTGCGCCATTTTGCTGCTAGATGACGAAATCGGGCTATGATTCCCAAAACCCTAAACCGTAGATGGTCACACTGTAGATCCTTCGATGACTACATGCACTGTTCTTTGCTGCATCACTGGTTCCTCTCGGCGCCTCGGGCGAAAAGAGCCTTCAAGGGCTGTAGAATCCGAGAACCCATTGTCAACATCCTTGAGCTCTTTGGGGGTTCAGAGTTTGGGAACTGCTACCTTCTGACAGATCTGGGAGCTGCAGGAGGAAAAGGGACCCAAATGTAAACCTTTCAGATGATGCGTTGCTCCATAGAGAGATCTCGAATGAAAGGCTTCCCGCTCCAATTTGCTGTCAGAGGACACATGAGCTTTCGGGGCGAGGGAGGGGAAAGAGGAGGGGAAAGCGGGAGCGGGTTTAGGGTTTGGGTTTGAAGCTTTTTGCGGTTGACGGTTCAGGCTTTAGGATGTGCGTGGAGAGCTTTGGCGACGGTGGATCTCTTGTCCCGAAACACCATCATCGTTCGTATCATCAGCAGCATCATCATCAGAAGAAGAAGAAGAACCATCATCGTGGTGATGACTCTGCTGCTGTTTATTAGCCTGTTGCTGTTTGTAAAGGGTTCATTGATGAGTGCAGTCCCTGTTCGTTAAGGGAAGTCGGGCTGAGTTTGTAGGTGAAGGCTTCCGATGCCTACTGTACTTGGCCGATGCCTACTTGGCAGTAGTCTTGCCACGGCCATGTTCTGAAAAGATTGAGGGGGATATCTGGCAGGTTTGTGCTCACAGCGAAACTTGAGCCTTAAACTCGAAGCCCTACGCCTTAAGCCCAAACCAGAAACCTTAAATCCCAAACCCTGAGTCCCTCAATCCTCCGGTTCTGCAGAAGAAACGAGCGAAGCCTCTTTAGACCATGTCGGCGCAGGGAAGCTCGATCTTGAAATCCAACCCCTGCTGCATCACGGCCTGGCCATGGCATACAGAGCCCTAAATCCTGCCTAGAGTCTCCATTGTAGTTCCTTTTTGGGGATACCTTATAGAATCCTTCATATATAATTGGTTCAACCAAAAAAGGAACTACAATGGAGACTATAGGTAAACTCCAAACCCTTTAAACCTTATGGGTTGCCTTCGTAGGCTATCGGCTGAGGGCTCGGAGTCTGTCAGTCACGGATTCGGATGTCCAGGAGCAAGGGATCTGCCTACTGACACCAAGAAGAACTAGAGACGGTGTAAAGAAATCATACCTGTGGAGCTAGGGACGGCGCACCATCCTTCCGAAATTGACTGCAGAACCGAGGTTCTTCGACAGCAGGTGCCCGGTAGTTACCGGCAGCACGGGCTTTAGGTTTGGAATTGTTGTGTCCGTGAGATACGACGTGTAGAGAAGTGGAGCTCATGACCCAGCCTTCACGTAGTAGTAGCCGAAATCGCCCAGGAGGATGAGATGGAGAAGATGTGCACCCCTCGGCGGCACGGACAGTTCATGATGAGCAAGACTTCTGAGTAAGTCGAAACAGTAGTGTGTCATCTTACAACTGCCAAACCTTGCACAGACTCTGAATACTCATAGGCCATGAGTAGTAAATACGAGAGACTCATGCAGGATCGATAACGATGGCAGTTGGAATAAGAGCTTTTACGTTCCCGGCTTAAGGCTTGGAGACGCTATAGACCATCTTGCCCTATGGGCTCATGTGGGTCCAGGACAAACTGAGCCCGCTGCAGAATCGCCCAGATCGCCTGCCGAGATTGCACAAGGCAGGTTGCAGTTGCGGCCAAGCAGAGCAATCCTCCTCATCCTACTGGCAGCGTGAGCCGGTCTGCTTCCCCGAGGCCAGGAAATGGGAACGGTTTGGGCTTGAGGCCCAAGTACAATTCTTGCCCTCGCCGGAAAAAAAGATCACAGAAGCCATGGACAAGAAGTTGCAGCCAGGCGCAGTGAGGAAGGAATACGCAGTCAAGTCAGTAAGGAGTCAACAGTCTAAAGTGCTACAAAGCCACCGGGACCACGAACGAGAAACAGTTCGAAAGTAGAAGTGCTCAGAAGCCTGAACATAAACTTCAACATGGAACACCTCGCAACAGCAGGCGGCAACACGCAATCAACACCGGATCGAGTCAAGGCACGATCGTGAGTGTTAAAGCATACAAGGCGGATTCTGCCTGCCTGGTTGAAGCTTCCCACGAGCGGCACGCAGGTGATGTCGAAGCGCGCATGCCACATGAAGATGCCACTCAGAGCACGGCTGCAGGCGAGCATCGCGATGTAGTGGCCTGGCAGTGTGCAGCCGTCTATTCTAGTGTCCTTAATGAATAGAATTTTGTTTTGGGGCATATTATGGTAGAGTTAGACAAGGGAACTCTAATTCAGGATTGACTATATTCCGATCCCTAGAGTACTCCATTCCAAGCGAAGCCCCCTCCCCGCCGGGCCTGTGCAAGCTTGGATCACGCCGCCCGTCTGGTGGATGTGCCACCTGGAACAGCTGCTTCATGTTAGCTACCATGCTGAGAACCTATCGTAAATAATATGGCTTCCATATTACGGTAAGATGAACTAAGTTCCTCAGCAAGAGCCGGCATTGAGCTTGCATTTCGAGGAGGTTGTCCCAAACCGAGGGCTTCGGCCAATAAGAACGAGGTACTCAGACACAGCCTCGTTATTTCGTTAGGCAGAGGGTTTACGAAAATGAGCTTCTGTCGACTGTAGTATGTCTTTGTGCGGCCAAGTATAAACCTACTTGCTGAGTTCTAATTGCCATCATCCTGCACACCACAAGACCTAAGATCATCGAACAATTATTACCACCATCTCAAGGACTCCCCACCTCGGCATCCTAAACCCTTAACTGTAGGACCGCTCTGGAGCACGAATCGATGAACATAAAAGCAGGGCCACCTCGTAAGTCCTATGTAGCTATGCTACTATACAGCATAGCATACCCCAACATGCTATTCTCATTGCTAAGGACCCCAATATTATCTGTCAGGGTTCTAAAGGCATCTCTACAGCCACTGTCTTTTGAGGGCAGTAGATGACCCGAAGATTCTAACATGTCACTCTTTCGAAGAAACCAGGTTGCTTGAACAGTGCAGTTATGGCATCATAAACCAACTCACAACAGTAATTAATAGAGTGAACTGGTAGCAAACTGACGATGATGTTCACTGGTGATCCCCAATTGCGGGACATTGCAGTCCAGGACGAAAACTAACTACGGTAAGGCCGAGCTGCAGCTGGGGAAGCACAGATACCACGCTGAGGAAAAGCCCGGCCATCCAAAGAGTATCCTTGCGGCTTTGGTTTGGGCGGTGTTACGACTTATGTAGGGCTAGGGGGGTTAGGAGAGGATTTAGGTGCGGACGGCTTCAGGGCTCGCAAAGCATTTAAGGCTTTTTCGGGTTTAGGGTTCATCCCTAAACCCTAAACCCTAAACCCTGACTCTCTTTAGGGTTCATGGACTCATGGTTCGAAGGTCTAGCCCGGCCCGTAGCTTATCAGGGTCGTAGGGTTTGGGACAGCACAGACTCGACAAACAGCTACACAAAATGATAACGGCGAGCAGGAAACACTGAGTAGGAGAAACACAGAAAGACAGAGAGGTAGAATATATATATATATATGTATATATATATATGTAACAGAAACAAACGGAGATTCTTTCGCGTTGCAATGTGTGTGTGTGTGTGCCACTTTGCGGGCTGAAATCTTTTCTCATAAGCTGCTAGAAGCCACGTTCTGTCGGGGGCCTTCATCCATACAACACGGTTTCGGTGCAAGTACGGCAGCATTAGCATTCAGGGACCTAAACCCTAAGCCCTAAACCCTAAACCCTACACCCTAAGCCCTAAACCCTAAACCCAAAGCCCTACAAGGCAGTTTCTTGCAGACCCGAGTCCGCCCTGATGCAGCTGAGGTACGAAGACTGGGCGGCCTTGGTCACGACACTGTGGGGTAATGTAGTATAGGGGCCTGAATAATTAGAAGAGGGTTTTGGGGCCCATGCTACTGCAACTATAAAAAGGAACCCCCAAAATACTATAGGTAATTGTTAAGGCCCATATGTTATCAAACAGCAGCCCCCCCCAAAAAAAAATCTGGCCATGTTCCAAGGGATATATGGCATGCACTGAATCATAGGCTTTGTGCGATACGAGTAGCGTAACTCGAAGGGGCGACTGATGAGGACCCGCAGTCGCAAAACCCGATTGAGAACACCCTGAACTCTAAACCCTGACCCCTGAAGCCTAAAATCCGAAACCCTAAGCCCCGGATCCAACTAGACGGGGAGCCCCTAAACCCGAAATCCGAAATCCTAGGTGGCTCGTAGACTCCACGCACTCTAGACTTTAAACTCTAAACCCGACAAGCTTTTGTGCTACACCCTTGAACCCTCAGGCCCAATACCCGACATGCTACATTCCCGAAATCCGACACCCGTTTAAAGACTCAAGCCACCGCAGAGGCAGAAAGAGATCGTTTCGAGCCCTGGGGCTGTTCATGTCCGCATGGAGGAGTGCCGCCAGGAAGAGGCTTGCAACGACCATTGGCAGCACCTTACCAGTCTAGGCTAGAATTTAGTGCGGGGTTTTGGTCGGCAGGCTGATTGACCCTATGATCCCTAACCCTAAATATCCTAATTCCTAGCCGGACTTGCGGTTTTCCTAGGGTTTATTGAGGGTTTCGCTGTGCCTCTTTCCAGGAGACGTCGAGGTTCAAGGACTACGTAGCAGTGATTCTTCAGCGAGGTTGGCTTGTGGCTACAGGTGAGCCTCACGCACTACTGATGATTTTCAAAAATGAGGGAGAAACCTGTCCGCGACGAGCATCTGACATACTGATACCCTCGGCCCTTAACCTGGAGTTCGAAGAACCCTAAAGCCCTCAACCCTGCATAAAGAAGCAGCCCCCAAGCCCTCAGGCCTTATGAAAGCCCGAAACCCTAAGTTCCTTTCTCAACCGAAAGCTGAAAGTTATTGGTAAACCGCCGCTCGCTGAGCTCAAGTCCCTTCACTTGGGCGCGGGCTGGCAGAGAGTCAGCCTCCTGGCAAGTTGCAACAACCAATACCACTACCCCACCACTGCCACTACGACTGACTACGACTGCGAGTACGGCCACTACTGCCACCACTACCGGTGCCACTGCCACTACCACGCCCACTGCTGCTGCTGCTGCTGCTGCTGCTGCTGCTACTACTACTACTACTACTACTACTACTGCTACTGCTACTACTACTACTACTACTACTACTACTAAAAATTACTACTACTACTACTACTACTACTACTACTACTACTACGACTACGACTACGACTACGACTACTACTACTACTACTACTACTACGACTACCGCTACTATGATGATGTTGATGCTGATGGTGATGATGATGATGATGATGATGGCGAAGGTGATGGTGATGATAATGATGATGAGGAGGATGATGAGGAGGAGGATGAGGAGGATCATGAGGATGATGATGAGGATGATGAGAATGATGACGATTTCGAAACAGCCAGGGCGACCCAAACCGCGAAC